CCTCCTCAGTTTCGACAAAGACTTATTTGTGTATTTATTTATTTATTTGCAGGATTTGATTCCAGACAAAAAGAAAGGTGGGCTGCCTGTTTTTCAGCTCATGCTTTCCATGGACGTAGGCTTAGGTGGTGAGATTTCTTAACATAGTATTTACTTTGTGGGCATAAAACTAGTGTGTGGTGGGTGGGGGGAGGGGGTAGGCCTCAAAACTAATTTGATGTAATTTACTTCCTTTCCTGATGTATCACAATCTGCAATGTTGTGTTTGTTGAGATTCAATCGTCGATGTTTTTCGGATTGCATTTTGATCTTCTTCATCCTTCGTCAAATATCCCTTGTTGGTTGCGAGTCCTGGGGTGTTACGCTCTGGATTTGGCCGGTACACCGGGAATTTAAGATGGTTTGAAGAAAGTATGCTTTTGAAGAATCTACCCGAGTAATGAATGGCCGATGCATAGCCCGCGGCGTCGATTGAAGAATGGGAAGGCCGTGGGGATGAGCCAAAAGGTCAACAACAACAACAACCCAGTTGAATCCCACTACAGTAGGGTCTGAGGAGGGTGTGTGTACGCAGACCTTGCCCCTATTTGAAAGTAGGGAGGCTGTTTCCAAGAGACCCCCGGCTCAACCTGCACAAAAAATATAGTAGAGAACACAATATAGCAGGATAACAAGATATAATAGGATATAACAGGATAAAGCACTAAGTACAATGAAATGAAAGTCCAGCAAGCAAAAGTAAAAGATACCAAACAAACACAACACACTACAAAAACCTCTACAGCATCGAGCTCCTAACCAGCTACTCTAATCCTTGTCCTCCAAAGATTCCTATGTAAGGTCATATCCTCAGTCAGGGTGAGAAGTCCTAAATCCTGCCTAATCACCTCATTCCAATTCTTCCTAGGTCTAACCCTTCCCCTACTTCCCCCGATAACCGTGATCCTCTCGCACCTCCGCACAGGAGCATCAACATCCCGCCGTCTCACATGCCCAAACCATCTCAACCTCGCTTCCCGCAACTTATCCTCCACCGGCACCATGCCTACCTGACGTCGGACAACTTCGTTCGAAATCCTATCCAACTTTGTCTTCCCACACATCCATCTTAACATCCGCATCTCCGCCGCATGCAAACAACGCACATGAGTCTTCTTAACCGCCCAACATTCTGCCCCGTATAACATAGCAGGTCTGACTACGGATCGGTAGAACTTACCTTTCATCTTGGGAGAAATCTTCGGGTCACACAACACCCTTGAGGCCAACCGCCATTTGGCCCAAGCCACTCCAACACGATGTCCAACATCCCCGTCTAACTCCCCATCCGCCTGGATTACCGAGCCAAGATATCGGAACTTGTCTACCTTAGGTACTACGTGAGAATCAATCCTAACTTCCACTTCTAATTCTGTTTCCCGGCCGCTGAAACGACATTCCATGTATTCAGTCTTGTTCCTACTTATTCTGAATCGTTTAGTCTCAAGGGCAAGGCGCCATCGTTCCAACTTATGGTTTAGTCCCTCGCGGGTGTCGTCGATAAGCACAATATCATCCGCGAAAAGCATGCACCATGGGACCCCTTCTTGAACACCTTTAGTTAGGACGTCCATCACTAAGGCGAACAAAAAAGGGCTAAGGGCCGACCCCTGGTGCAACCCCATCCCTACCGAGAATGACTCAGAGTCGCCCCCAGAGGTCCTTACCCTAGTCCTAGCCCCATCGTACATATCCTTGATCGCGCGAGTGTACGCGATGGGAACTCCTTTCATCTCAAGGCACCTCCATATGACCTCCCTTGGCACCCTATCGTACGCCTTCTCAAGATCAATAAACACCATATGGAGGTCCTTCTTCCTAGCTCTATACTCTTCCATTAACCTCCTCACGAGGTGAATGGCCTCTGTAGTCGATCTACCAGGCATGAAACCAAACTGGTTCTCTGAGATGCATACCCCTTTCCGCACCCTATACTCAATGACTCGCTCCCAAACCTTCATGGTGTGGCTAAGTAGTTTGATGCCTCTGTAATTCCCGCAGCTCTGAATGTCACCTTTACCTTTAAACAAGGGGACCAAGAGACTCTCCCTCCACTCATCAAGCATCCTTTCCGAAAGATAACATTGAAGAGTTTGGTTAACCAAACCCACGCAGCACGGCCCGCATGCTTCCAAAACTCCACCGGAATCTCATCTGGTCCCAAAGCTCTCCCGCTACGCATCCCTCGGAGAGCCCGAACCACCTCTCCCAGGCAAGTGCACCGACAATACACACGAGACGCCCCAGACTGCCCCAGTTCATCAAGAACTAGCCTCTGGTCTCCTCCTGCATTCAATAGATCACAGAAGTACTCCCCCCCAGCGCTTAGCCACTTTGGCAGTCTCAACTAACACTCTACCATCGCTCCCCTTCACGCACCTGACGTAATCCAGATCTCGGGCCTTCCTCTCACGCACCTTAGCAAGCCGGAACAGTGTATTAACACCGCCTTTCTCCTCAATATCCTTGTAGAGGCGTTAAAACGCGGCATTCTTTGCCCGCGTAACCTCTAACTTGGCTTCTTTACGTGCCTTCTTATACTCCACTTGTAACGCCGTTCTTTCTTCCTCAACATTGCAGCCCATGTACCTCAAACATGCCACCTTCTTAGCTTCCACCTTAATACGGACTGAATCGCTCCACCACCAATCACCCTGACGCCTACTCCCATAGCCAGAGCTCACACTTAACACTTCCCTGGCTGTTTCCCTGATGCAGTTAGCAGTCTGCTTCCACATATCTGTAGCCTCTCCGGCCGATTCCCACGCACCTTTCTCCTGCACTCGCCTGATCAACTCAGAGATATTCTCCCCACTTAGTCTCCTCCACCGGATTTGTGTGTTGCCACTCGAAGCTCTTCTATGTTTCACCCATTTGATCATGACATCCATCACGAGAAGCTTGTGTTGGGTNATCACCCTGACGCCTACTCCCAGAGCCAGAGCTCACACCTAACACTTCCCTGGCTGTTTCCCTGATGCAGTTAGCAGTCTGCTTCCACATATCTGTAGCCTCTCCGGCCGATTCCCACGCACCTTTCTCCTGCACTCGCCTGATCAACTCAGAGATATTCTCCCCACTTAGTCTCCTCCACCGGATTTGTGTGTTGCCACTCGAAGCTCTTCTATGTTTCACCCATTTGATCATGACATCCATCACGAGAAGCTTGTGTTGGGTAGTGATGTTTTCACTCGGAACTACTTTAGCATCCTTGCAGAGCACTCGATCACACCTGCGCAGGAGAAGATAGTCGATCTGTGTCGTCCCCACTCCACTAACAAATGTAGCCAAATGAACGCCTCATTTTGGGAAACAAGAGTTAGCAACCACCATATCACTCGCTTTGGCAAACTCTAAGAGTGAAACTCCTGCTGGGTTCCTGCTGCCAAAGCCAAAACCACCGTGTACGTCCCCAAAGCCCTCAGCCAAGCCTCCAATATGGCCATTGAAGTCGCCTCCAATGATGACTTTCTCAGTCAGTGGAAAACCAACAACCACCCCATCCAAGGCGTCCCAAAAACCCCTCTTTACTTCGTCTGTCAAGCCAACATGCGGGGCGTAAGCACTCACGACATTGATCATACACCCATCCCAAACCAACTTGATAAATATTAGACGGTCACTAATCCTCTTCACCTCCACCACAAACTCTCGCAGCTCCGGAGCCACCAGAATACCGACTCCATTCCTTCTCCTAGCCGAACCTGAATACCACAGTTTGAAGCCATCAACCTCTCGCGCCTTCGTGCCCACCCACTTAGTTTCTTGCACGCACGCCACCTGAATCATTCTCCTCTTGAGAACTTGCACCAACTCAATTGACTTACCTGTGAGGGTCCCTATGTTCCATGAGCCAAAACGCACATGGGACACTACACTACCCCTCTGTGACCCTCCTACCCCCGTCCCTATGTTATTTCTGCCACTTATTGTTTATTCTTATCAGATCCTGATGAGTTTAGATGAGATTATATTCATTGATATTAGTTCAGATCGTATCAGATCATTGAGATCATATCCATACTGATAAGAGAATTATTTAAAAATAAAAATTAAAATAATATTAATAATTAAAACAATAAAAATAATAATTATTATCATTATTAAATAATAATAACAATAATAATGATAATGTTAATAATTAATGATAGTAATTAATAATAATAAAAATAATAATGGTTAAATCCAAAACATAATAATGATAATTATTATTTTTAGTGAATAATAATTATTAATAATGATTATAACAATTCATAATAATAATTGATAATTTTCATCATTAATCATAAAATTTAATATTAATAATAATACATATAATAATTAAAATAATATGGAGTAATAATTAATAATTACAAGTAATAAAAATAAAATTTTAATATTTTTAATAAAAATTACAAAAATAATTAATGCTATTAAATATGATTACTTACATAATTATCATTTTTGTTAATATTTTAAAATTGATTTATAATTAATAATGATAGTCATCATCTTTAATCACAACACTTAATAATAATAATAATAGAACGAATTATTAAAAATATTAGTTATAATAATTATAAGGTACCGTTTTCTTCCGCTTATTTCTGCTATTTATTATACGAAGTATATTCTTAACAGTTCAGACGAGTTCACATCAGATTAGGTTTATTTAGATTAATTGAGATCAGATCAGATTTATTGGAATTATTTAAGATCAGATTAGAGCCATTCGGATTAGAAAATATTTAAAAAGTAAAAAACTTTATAATAATACTAATAATAATAATTAATAATAATACTCCGTACTAACTAATGATGTTAATACTCACTTTGTCCAAAAACTTTCTTCTCAGTTTGATTTTTCTCCATTTTTAATTTTTGGCTTTGACTTCAAATTTTACCCTCCTTAAAAAAGATTTTTTGATTTTTTTTTACAATCATTCAAAATATAGAGTTAGAAGATAATTAGTGTAAATACATGAGAGTTTTAAAATCATTTGTCATCTTTTTTTTCTAATGAGAAAGTAGTTTTAGAATAGAGAAAAAGGGTAAGTGGGAAAAAAAGGGGAGTAATGATTAAATGTAAGTCGGTTCTGGGGTGGGTCGTATAATTGGGGCAAATCCACACTGCTTCCCTCTGGAAATCGGATTCAGCAATCGACACTGATATGGAGGCACCGAACGGCTCTGGTAAGAATCCATGTGAATCCCAGGTATGGCAGCTTCCTCTTTTTTTTTGTTTTCTTTTCTTCCTCTTATCGGCTAATTTGTTTAGGAATAAATTGTGGTCTTTTTTACTCTTATCGGCTCTGTTAATAATGATCACAGTCGTTTGATTGTCTCGCTGTGAAGGCTGGAGTCTTACGCTCATCAGCAATTTGTTTCATATATTTTCCTTTGACGCGCAGTTGTTTGATTCATTGTGATGTAACACTGGATTTTATATGAATGCTCTATGCCTCAACCATTCTTATTTCCACCCTATGGTTAGAGATATAAAATCCTGAAAACCTCCATTTCGATTGTCAGTTCTCAGGCATATCAGTATACTCGAGGGATGAGCACAATACCCTGCTTTTCACTCCATTTTATTTCAATTATCAGTGTTTTTTTTGTGGGAGGGTTTATGTGTATTCAAGAGTTTTGCAACCACATTCTTCTCTATCTCTATCTTATTGCAGGGAAGTTTGTCCATGGAGCTTCCCCCCGAGCAAGCTCATTCATACCAGTTGCTACACTCTCAGAAGAGAAAATTGCTTCCGGAGCTGGATGATACAGATGGTTCATCTACCAAAAAGAGAAAAGTACTGCATGAGGCAGCACAGGGTACGCATTTCCATGCCTTACACATTCACACACACCTGAAATTCAACAATCCTTGCACGTTTTATGTATGCGATTCTTGAGTCAGTTATTTGAGTTTGGAGATGATGATAACATGGTGTCAGAGTTCAAAGCTGGAGTAAGAAATGATGAACAAACACCTAAAATATATCTCTTACTCTGTTTTAGCACGAAGCGATTTCACATCACTCTGCAATTTATGACTGTGGTCTATATATTACTAACTTTATATCCTATTGTATAGATTAATTAATATAAATGGAGAGAGAATATACATATATATGTGTGTGTGTGTGATATATTGTAGGCGAACATCCTACATTTTATATATATATATATATATATATATATATATATATATATATATATATATATATATACAACAACAACAACCCAGTTAAATCCCACAAGAGTAGGGTCTGGGGAGGGTGTGTGTATGCAGACCTTGCCCCTACTCAAAAGTAGAGAGGCTGTTTCCAAAGAGACCCCCGGCTCAACGTCGAAAGTTGCATTGCTTGACTAACTGCTACTTCATTAATTAAAGAAGCGCAGACAGTTTAGAGATCCATTTTGATTTATTCCATCACACCCCAAAGCCAAAAATTGGTGAAATTTTGGCTCCATCGGAGATGATGGAAGTATATATATATATATATATATATATATATATGTATGTATGTATGTATGTATGTATGTATGTAGTGGGATAATCCTTTTGTGTTGTTGCAGAGAGAATTTATACCGATTTGTTGTTGTGTGCATGTATGTAATTACATATCCTTTTCATGCATGTTCCTGTGCATCTGAAATAATCATGATACAATATTAAGCATATTGTGTGGGAGCTAGGTTCTCTTAACTTTGAAGCCTTGCTCTATCTATATAGAAGTACAATTTCGGCGGAAAAACTTCTCTCATTATCCCATTGATTCTTCTTGCTTTGCTTCTCTTTCTTTTCTATGATGTCCTAATACTCCACTCAATTTCCTAAGCAAGAATATATTATAAGGAATGATAGTGACATGGATAGGTAAGGCATTTGATTGTGAAATTTACCAACATGCCCTTACAAATTCAGCATAAGTACTACCCCTGTCCCATAAGAGTTCACTTTTTCCTTTTTCGCATTCTAAGGATAGGAGTATGTGGCTCATAAAACCTTTTCACATTCCACCACTTTTCTTAAGCTGCATGAAGGTCAGACGTAAGAGTTTTATGAGACGGAGGTAGTAGTAACCACTAGGGACATAATGGTAAGTTCCACTCATTTTCTAAACAAATGCAGAGTACTTCATCCCTGCCCAAATTATTTTTTAAATATTTTTTGCAAAACTATCTTCCAAAAACATTGATTCAACACCACTAGCTCTCAACTACGTATCATAATGCATTCGATTCGAGTAAAGATAATCAAAACTTCGGGGAGGAAAGCTGTTAGTGCACAAAGAACTACTCCTATATATGTGTTTCATTACCACTTCAGTCATCGACCCCAAAACATTATCTATGGTCATGTTCTTAATTGAGCCTTGGCACATAAATATATAGAGTATACTATCATTGTTTTTATTAATACCCTTGCGGGTAGGTTTTATCTTTTTGTCCAAAATCTATTAATAGCCTCTTTTTTTTGAGTTCTTTTGTTATTGCATTCTTAGAACACTATCAGTGCACATCTCCAAACTCTGGATATCATATTGACTATGGATCATACTCAAAACAGCCCATGTTCGTCAACTCCATGTGGCTGAGATGCGTATGCTTCGGTGGATGTGTGAGCAAATGAGGTTTGATATGTTTCGCTGGATGTGTGAGCAAATGACGGGTGGGAGTAGCACTATGGATGTGGAGGATAAGCTACGAGAGCGTAGGTTGAGATGATTCGGTCACGTGAAGCAGCGTGAACAAGAGGCCCTAGTGCGGAGATGTGAAAGGCTTTCGATAGTAGGTGGGTTTAGGGGAAGGGGTAGACCTAGAAAGAATTGGAAGGAGGTTATTCAGCAGGACTTAGGACTTCTTGTTCTCACCAAGGATATGACTTTAGATAGAAGCATTTGGAGATCTAGAACTAGGCTTGTTGGTTAGTCATTTTGTCCGGGGCGGTAGTTGAATTCTCTTCGTTGTGTGCTTTGTAGGCTTGATGTCTTTCTTTTTACATCTTTTTAAGTGCCTTTTATTTTACCGTGCTTTTCATCCCTTTTTGTTTGTTCCTTGGGCTCTTGTTGTTTTGTGCTTTTCTTACACACACACACACAGGTACACACACAGACACACACACACATTTATACACACACACACACACACATCCACGATTTCAAAATAATCACAACGGTCCAAACTGCATGTTATTCACAAACACACACACCTGACTATCTTTTATATTTTACTTAAACATAATTGAATATATTAATGATTTAATCTGTGCATTGGCAAATGTGAAAAATCAAGTGTTTTGATTCTGTTGCAACAGATGGAGTTTTTTTCTTATTTCCATTATTAGGTTCATTTGTTTCAAGATTTGTAAAATTCAAATGTTATCTTTCTTATCTCGGAAAACTCTAATTTGGTTTATTTGTTGGGGATCGTGAAAATTTTCTAGGGTGGATTATTTTCAGGATGATGATTCCTGCACGGAGGGATGGTTGTATTGATCATTACAATCTTATGCTGAAGCCATCTTATGAGAAGGACAATGTTGACGTTGATTTCTATGAAGCTGGAGATGGAATTGGAATTGTAAGTAAAATTAGAATTTTATCTGTCATCTTTTTGTGTTTCATTCTTGTCTTTTGAATTTTTTATGCTTGGGTGTTGACGACTTGACGTGTGGTTAATGTGTTTTGTTTGTCTCTCAGATATTGTCTATTTTAATTCTATATAATGACTGTATTTAGAAAGCAAGAGTTTATAGATCTGAGTGATGTCTGATTTTTGTTTGTGCTATTATGTTTGAATGGCATATTTTCTTGTCACACTCTTGTTCTTTTTTTTGAGCGCCTAGGAACTTACTAGAGTTTTAATTTGTAGATCTGTGATATGTTTTCCTTTTATGATTCCTCTTGATTTGATTCTACATTTCTTGAACTCTTACTGGAATAATTAGGAAGGATGAGTCAAACAGCCTTTGGACTCTTATCCTTAATATCAATTGAGTGATCATGACAGCCAAGGCAAGTTGATGACCTAATGTAGGTCATTTTAATGACTTGGTGGAAGTATACATGTGTGTATTTTTAAATAAGTTTCCTTTTAAATGTAGCTAAAAGAGTCGTTTCTGACCATGTTTCAGCCTCAAATCACTTTTGACGCAGGCAATCTTTGATTGTACACATCGGGCTTAGTTTCTGACAATACAATTTTCTCTAGGGTGTAAATGCATATGTAGAATGTGGCATCAGTGACTTTTCTTATTGGTTGTGAATATTGTTTTGGCCTAGCCGCAGTTCATTTTTGTCTTGGGGTGGGAATGTGAGTGCATTTCCTGTTGTGAAGCTATCAAGCTAATAGTTCCGATGCACCCCTCCATGTCTTGATCTTCACTTAGTGCTAGTTGAAGTAGAATGATCATTTTTAGTATTAGAGTTCAGGTTTTGTGTGATGCATTTTAAACTTGAGCATAGGTGATGGTATCGGCCAAAGAAGACTCTAGGTGCTCCACAACTCATGCTGTGCGTGTTATTTGCACACTTTACTCCTCGTTCTTGCTCCAGATGCCTTTTAAGGGGAGGTATTTGATAAGACTACTTGTACCAGCTGCACATACAAAAAGGCTGATTATTCTCCAGACAATCAACTCCCATTCATGCAAACCTGTTATCTATCTAACAGGTATGCAATACATACCTGGTGTGTTCTTTATTTTTATGCTATTTTAAACTTTGTTAATTACTCCCTCTTGCCACTTGTTAATTGCTCCCTCTTGCCACAATTAACAAGGTAGAATTGTGTGGTTGATATTGATGTTTAATTATCTCAAATTCTTAATAGCTGGCATAGTCTTTTGCAGATAATGTTTCATTTTTATCTTTGGGTGATGTGATCGTTGAGGTGGAAGGGTATTGTCGACACATAGATGAGGCAATGCAATCAGTTTATTCTGATCTGGGAGAGTTTAGGGTTGATGAGAGCATGGTCTGTGAACTTAAAGCTAACGTAAGATCAATTTCAAAAGTCTATACATAATGGATTCACTTAGTTGATCGGTTAATTTTTCTTGCATATACTCATTCATGTTTTTTGAAGCACACAGAATGGCATTCATCCATCTGCATGTGGGTGTGGTTCTGGGGTTAGATTTCAAAGAGCTTCTGAGGTAAGCCCCCACCCCGTGTTGCAAAGAGGCTTGGATGTGTGTTTTGATTTAGGAAGATCCGGAAAAATTATATGGAAAGAAGTTGGAGTTTGTATATATTGAGCAAGAATAAGTGATAAGTAATACTAGAGGTAAAAGACATGGTCACAGCCGTAATTATTCCAATCGAGGTATATATCTATAAATGTCACTCTTACTTGGTGGATACAAAACAACTGCAACACTAAATTTTGATAATATCTTGTCCGCTGCTCCAAAATGTATCTGCAGCAGTCTTCAGTCTTCCATATCCCCTTCTTATGCACTTTGATATTTCTTGTTAGCAATACTCATCATATAATTGCAAAGAGGCTTTAAGCTATCAATGGTCTTTGGTAAATCCACCCAATCAGCACTCCTAG